TATTATCTTCTTACAAAGGCTAAACATTATGATTGGACATAATGAGTTGATGAGACAAAGAAAGAATGGAATGAAAAAAAGAATCACAATCCCAAAAACAAAACAAATAGAGAAACAATAATAAAAAAAAGCAAACTTTTCCTTTTCTTCTTTTTTCTTCGTTTTTTTTTTTTTATATTGTTATTTCCTTCATTTGACTTGTTTTAAGTATTGCTTGTCTGTTTTTTCTTTTCTTTTCTTTTTTACTATTAACCTTGTTAGATCGACCAATCGACAAGCTATGGTAAGGAAGAATGAAAGGCATTGAGTAAATATAGACATATGCAATTTATCATATGTTGATTATCACTTTAAATTACATATTTAGTTAGTTTAGTAGATTTAATTAATCGAGGGTTTTTTCTTTATCGCATCGATTCAAACATATTTAATATATCAACCACATTGATTCTATCTTATTTATCGTTTCCTTATTTTTCTTTTTTCTTTTTTTGTTAACTAGAGAAAAAAAAGCGAATAATATCCGATATTTGAATCAGCATGGATCTACGTCAGAATTTTTTCTTTCTTTTCTTATAGTATAACTGTAACTTACACTAATAATAACATACATTTCTCTCCAATGTTTCTCGGGCATTTCTATTCATGTAATTTCTTGTCAGTTCTGCTTTTCACACACATATATACACTTGGTAGTATTATCATAATCAGTGCGATAGACTCTCGAAGACTCAAGACGAAGAGAAGAAAAAGAGACAATCATTCATCGTCTTGGTAATAACAGTAACAAGCAAATATAACTTCCTTCTCTATACATTTGTAAACTCTTGAGAAAGAAATGCTCATAGTACGTTTTCTTAATGTAATAATGACGTTAGGACAGCACTCTTATTCGTGTGCCATCTCGACTCAAGCTGTCGTACATACACATATGCGCATCATTTGATTTTTTTTTTGCATCCTACAAGGAGATATACTATATGAGTATTCACCATGAGAAAAAGAATATGTGTCAATTTACATTAACTTGCTTCAATCGCAAATTTACACTATTAGAAATATAAATTTATCATTTAATAGATCATATTCGCTTTCTTTCTTCTTTTTGTTGATAGTTTCAGATTGCCTAACAAGCAAAAAAAATTCAATTATCATCATTTTTACTTTTATTTCTTTTTCTTTTGCTTTTTTTTTTTTGTACAACCATAATAACCTTTGATCTCATTATATGCTCTAGTGCGACTGCTGTCGATGATGATCATGATCGCTATTACCAGTTCTTTCTCATTCTTTTGGCTCATCATTCTTTCTCGTGTCTTCCGTTCTACTTCCTTTCGACGATCGTTCTTTAATTTCCTTGTACTATGTTATTCTCTTCTTTCTTTTCTACTATCGTGTTGGTGGACTTATTTAACAGAACATGTCGACACACGCGATGAACGTTGTCTCGAGTGTATGTGAACGCGCGTACGTACACTATATATATATATATATATATCTTTAGCATCGAACATAAAATTTTATCCTTGAATGAAGAGAAAAAGAAAAAAAAAAAAATCATTTTCTCGTCTTCGTTCATGTTCAAATGAATTGTATGAAGGTGAGAAAGAGAGGAGTGTTAAATTTTTATATGTATCATTGCAGATGAAAAAACGACGACAATGTTTGAGACTGGCCAGATAAAAATAAAAATTATTCATTGGTTAATTATCTTATTCAATTATCTGTCCGAATAAAATAACAACAACAATAAAAAAAAACATCATGTTTAAATGTTTTCCAATTCCATTTTGTAGTAGAAATTTAGAACAAATTGATAAACGTCATTGTAATTTAACAACAGTACCTGATGATATTCTTCGTTATACACGTACATTAGAAGAATTATTACTTGATGCTAATCAACTTCAAGATTTGCCTAAGGTTTTTTTTGTTTTTTCTTTTAAATCCTTATTAAATTCTTCTTTTTGTTTAATATTATATCTCTAGGGTGTTTATCGTTTAACACAATTACGTCGTTTAACATTTAGTGATAATGAAATTCAATATATATCACCTGAAATTGGACAATTAGTTAATCTAGAAGAACTTGATTGTTCAAGAAATGGTATTGAAAATTTGCTTTTGAAACATATATAGATTTTTAATTGTTATTTCTTATAGACATAGCCGAAATTCCGGATAATATTCGTCATTGTCGATCATTACAAAGACTTGATTGCAGTGGAAATCCTTTAGCAAATAAGTAATAGAAAGAAAAATATTTTTTTTTAATAAATGTATAAAATTTTTGTTTTAGTCTTCCTGCTGGTATAATTCATCTTCGACAATTGAATCAATTAACATTAAATGATGTTTCACTTGCTGAATTACCAAGAGAAATTGGCAGGTATTTATATAAAGAAAAGAAAAGTTTTTAAGTTAATTTCACTAAAAATAATAAAAATTAATCATTAATCATTAATCATTTTTTTTTTTGGTAATATATAATAGTCATTCATTGTTTATGCATTACTTGAAATATAATAACGACAGTTTGTGTTGACATTTATGTTAATATATGAATGTAGAAAGAAGACATCCGTTGGGACGATATATATATATATATATAAGTATTGATTTCTTGGTCTTTAGAGAATACAAGTTCAATAGTTTACGTAGATCAAAAATTAATTTTTTTTTTGTTTACATGGTTATTCTCGTTCAAATGAAATTCCTAGTTGACTGTCTCTGAATGAATTCTCAAAACTTAGATTAGATTTCAACTAATATTATAAAATTTCTGTACTTGCAAAGGGAAGTTTAATTGACAGAAACCTGGTAGAATCTTTGGCATAGTGTTATAAATAATTCAATAGTTTCGTATCATAATATAAAGGATTTTATTCAGATTTCTTCTTTCGGAAGGATTAATCTAATCTTCGGAAAGGCATCACTTCCTTGCTGGATAAAACATTGATAATATAGGTTGAACATCTAATCTTCTGTAAGATTAGAGCTTTAACAGTAATTACAACTTTCTAGAATTCTACGTATTACTGTTTAGTTTTACAGGATTTTGTACAATTTTGATTATCGAGAATCTTAATCAACAATTCCAGCTTCTCTATATGCATAATCGAAACGTAATTACATAAAATATTCAGTCTTTTTTCTTGAGAAGCCTGTAGAAGTTTGATAACATTGGATTGCAATCAAAATTTTGTATTCCTTTTCGAATGTATTGATTTAAAATTTCTTTTTTACGAGTTCTGCTTAGGGAAGTTATGAGCTAACCTTTTAGAAGCCTGCATATTAAGTTTAGATGAATTTTAGCATGCAAAAACTATTTCGAATAAAAGAATAAACATTTCTCTGTAAGATGATATACTAATGACTAGTTTTGCTACAAGTCATTTGTCAATAATGAGGAATTTAGTAATAGATATCGTGTCGTTTGAGAGGAATTTCTATGAAAATGAGTTCGGCCATTTCTAAATGATTGTTTTAATACTCTTAATTCTTATATCACTTTGTAGAGAATAATTTTGTCTTTAATTCTATTCGAAGAAATTGATAATATAGCGTATACAGTATATGAGACGATAGCAGCAAAATACATCAATTTTCATATCTCAAAAAGATCAACTCATAACTCCTAAATCAGAAGTTTTACAAAAATTGTGAAGCAATATATTCAGAAAAAACACAAAATTTTCCTTCTAACCTAATGTTTTCAAATTTCTGCACGTTCTTTAAAATAGCTAAAAAACTAATCATCTGTTATTAAAACCATGAAGGAAACAAAGAATATTCTATGAGAGAAGATTATAAACATTATAACTTGCGCAAAATCTCGTTCCGTATATATATATGTTCTGTAATCAAAAGGTTAAAAAATCTGTTTTTTCCTAGCATTCAGGAAGATTTCAATTAACATGATACTAAAAATATATTTTTCATTATATGAAATACATATTGTTACTTACTAAAAAGAAAAACTTTTGTTTATTATAAATCTTGAAATTAGTCTAATTCAGATATGACTTAGTAATAGAATTTATTCTTAATCTATTTAATAATCTGTAAAAAAAAACACTCCGAAAGAACAATAAAGGATTGTGTTATTGTTGTTTTTCTAGTCTTTCCAATTTACGTGTACTTGAAGTCCGAGAAAATTTGCTCAAAATTTTACCTGATTCACTTGTACAATTACCTAAACTTGAATCACTTGATTTGGGTTCAAATGTTATTGAACAACTTCCAAATCATATGGGTAATTTACAATCATTAAAAGAATTATGGTTAGATTCTAATGAATTACATGAATTACCAAATGATATTGGTCAATTAAAACGTTTACAATGTTTAGATGTATCAGAAAATAAATTAACTTTTTTACCAAATGAAATTGGAGATTTAGAATCATTAACTAATTTTGAATTATCATCAAATCAAATTGAACAATTACCATCAACAATTGGTCAACTCAAACAACGTTTATTAATATTAAAAATTAATTCGAACAGTTTAACAAAATTATGTAATGAAATTGGACAATGTTTAGCATTAACAGAATTAATTTTAACTGAAAATACATTAACAGAACTTCCAATAACAATTGGAAATTTAAAAAATTTATCAAATTTAAATGTTGATCGTAATCAATTAACACATTTACCTGTTGAAGTAAATATTCTTGAAATACAATCCTAAAATTTTCACTATAGAATAGAATATATGTAAGTTTGTAGAGAAAGACTACCTCTATCTAATGATGTAAGATGTCGAAAATTCAAAATTTTTATCTAGTATCGCTTGACAGAGCACATTCGGATATGTATGAAAAACTCCTTTTTCATTTTTTTTGGAAAAAAATTTTTCCTGGAAATATTAGAAAAAAGACTCGTCCATTATCACAGATATGTAAATATTCTTTCTTTTTTTTTTTCATCGTGTAGAATAGTATAAAGGTCATTCTCTGATATTACAGACGAAATTGACCAAAAATAAACATCTTATGTGTGTCAATTTTGT